TCCTCCTGGGCATGCCTGCTTATCTTTTATGTCATACAAAAAAAGATTAAGGAATTTATCTTTTCTGAAGAAAATGTGTACAGTCGCTAAGATATAATCTATTATTTCACCAGTATCAACAGAATTCAACTGTATTGTCTCCTTGGGAGCTCAGAAACATACCAGAAAGATTATCAAGCATCTATGGCCCTGTTGAATAACATTCTTCTCAGGGATAATTACAGGATAGTGAAGTCCTTTCACACTGATATTTTAAGACTGGATTGCACAATACTCAGCAAACTTTGTGATGGCTTAAAGAGAGTTGACTCTCACTATTTGAAGAATAAAACTTTGGAAGTCGTGTGAAAACATAAAAATGTGTACAGAGTGGTTTAAAGAGGGAAAAGGTTTCCTTATTTGTATAGTAACTAGCTTTTTCAAGCTAGCTTTGTCTTGCATCCCAAAGCCTGTGGAGGGATTTCAAAACTGCAGTGACAAAGCAACTGAGGCTTGGTTGTTGTATGCCATCAGTTCAGTCATGAGATGTCTTCGGACTGCTAACACTGCCTTGGGAGCTCTGTGGCTTGAGTATACTGCAGGCACATGAATTTCAGAATCCTGACCTGGGAGGAAAAATTCATACATATGTATATATATTCATGTCCTCAAGGCAGCCTAAATTATGGTGATTCACTAAAATTCAGACTGCCTTGAGGGTATTCTTCACATGTTTTTTTGCTCTGAACGCTCACAATGTCAAAGTGGAATAAATATGCATTGAACAGCACTCAGTTTCATGCTTACAAACCAGTAAATAGTGGGACCTTTAGTTCTTATTACTCATGGAAGAATGTAGGTAAGCAATTTTGTAAATAATGAAATAAACATTATTTTCATTTAGAAAAAGAAAATAGAAGATCCAATTACAATTTTGAGGAAGGACATTGTTTCTGTCTTTCCAGATTTTATCTAGTAGTAATAGATTTAGATGAGCAACGCAAGTATGCAAAGATTCAGATTCTTGGCTGGCTTAATTATTCAAGATTTTTTGTGTGTGTGTCCCTAACTTCAAAGTGCTTAAAAATTGGCAGATTTCAGCTGCTGCATTCCTTAGAAACATGTACATGTTGTTGTAGAATTCTTAAGTTAGAAGTAGGATGATCCTGTGGTGTTGCAATATTTTGAGTCCTCAAAACAGACACAAACCAGTAGTAAACGTCTTTCAGAAAGGCACCCTGGATCTTCTATCTGCAGCATTAATGTGAAGTTGTTACAAAAAGTAAAAATGAGCAAGAAGCTGTAAATTCTTTGAGGTATGGGAGAATATACAACTGATAAATAATTCATAAAATAATGTAACAGTCTCATACCAGCTAAACCATAAATATTTTATTTGCCTTGAATTTGCCCTAAATTAAGGCTTCATTTTGGAGTTTAAAAGAAGATGAAGGAAGTAACACCAAGGAACAAGAGACTGATCACGTACAACTGATTATTCATATTTCTTACAAGGAACATGCTACATTCTTACAAGTTCAGAAATTACATTCTTTTCAGGTAAAAGGAGAGGGAAGAGTTCAAGAAAGCCAGGGGAAAACATAGGGGAGAGGAACTTGGAGTGTAAATTGTAGCTTCTTAATGCAGATTTGAATTGTGCCTTGAGGAATAGTTTAAGGCAAGATGCTGTGCAGAAGTTCTTTGTCAGCTCACACTGTGGACAGATTCTTCAAAGATCTGTAACTCTGAAAGTGTCTTAAATATTGTGCAGAGTTACATTTACTGTTTTCTTTGTAGCCTGATCTCTAGTTTTTGTAATAGAGAGCTTAGTATTCTATTCTGCTAGACAAAAACATGTCTTCACCCTTTTATGTTTCTTTATCACTGAGTGAATTTGGAAGATACTGAGACAATATAGAGTTCCCTGAAGGTAATAAATTCAGTTTATGAAACAATTCACTTTCACAGTTAGGGATTCAGCCTAATTTGAAGAGTTCCAAGAGCAGTGGTATGACATGGGATGAGCAAGAGGGTCAATTTGAGAGCTGTCATGGGGCAGCCAACTGGCCACCAACTGGTGAATAGAGTTAAATCCAGTGGGCAGCGAGTCACAGGTGGTGTTCCCCAGGGCTCAGTACTCAGTTCTCTTTAATATCTTTACCAATGATGTGGACAAGGGGATCGAAGGGACCCTCAGTAAGTTTGCAGATGACACCAAGTTGAGCAGGAGTGTTGATCTGCTTGAGGGTAGGAGGGTTATACAGAGGGATCTGGACAGGCTGGACTGATGGGCCAAGGCCAATGGTATGAGGTTCAACAAGGCCAAGCGCCAGGTCCTGCACTTGGGTTACAACAATGCTGTGCAAGGCTACAGGCTTGGGGAAGAGTGGCTCGAAAGCTACCCAGTGGAGAAAGACCTGGGGGCGTTTTGGTCAAGAGCCAGCTAATTATGAGCTGACAGTGTGCCCAGGTGGCCAAGAAGGCCAATAGCATCCTGGCTTGTATCAGGAATAGTGTGGCTAGCAGGACTGGGGGAGTAATCATCGCCCTGTACTCAGTACTGGTGAGGCCACACCTCGAGTACTGTGTTCAGTTCTGGGGCCCTCACTACATTGAGTTGCTGGAGCACGTTCAGAGAAGGGCAATGAAGCTGGTGAAGGGTCTAGAGAACAAGTCTTATGAGGAACAGCGGAGGGAACTGGGGTTGTTTAGCCTGGAGGAAAGGAGGCTGAGGGGAGACCTTCTCAGTTTCTACAACTACCTGAAAGGAGGTTGTAGCAAGGTGGGTGTTTGTCACTTCTCCCAAGTAACAAGCGATAGGACAAGAGGTAATGTCCAGAAGTTGCACCAGGGTAGGTTTAGATTGGATATTAGGAAAAAATTATCCACTGAAATGGTTGTTAAGCATTGGTACAGGCTGCCCAGGGAAGTGGTGGAGTCACCATCCCTGGAAGTATTTAATAGAGGTGTAGATGTAGGGATATGGTTTAGTAGTAACTTGGCAGTGCTAGATTAATAGTTGGACTTGGCAATCTTAAAGGTCTCTTCTAACCAGAATGATTCTATTTGATACAGTTCGATTCTATTCAAGGTGGCAGGTTCTTGGAGAAGTCTCTACCTGAAAGTTTAAGCATCTCCTCCAACAGCAAAATGGCAAGTTGTGAGGAGAGCACTCTCACCTCCTGATGCCCAGTCCTACCTTAGCGTGTTACCAACCTTGGTTTCTGGTATCTCAAGTCACCACACGCAACTTCAAATATTGCTGACGTTAGCAACCTCAGCAGGTTGCTTGTATCTAACAGCCTACCTTCCTAAGACTGTAAGTCAGTCTTTAAAGATTCCAATGAAGAAATAAACTTCTCCCCTCCCACCGGTTCTTTCAAGGGCTTGTTTCTTTTAGCATTTTATATAGGCGACTTTCTAGAATTTTCTTTAGGGCTCAAATAATCTGACCTCAAGCCCTGTTTATGTCATTTAATTTTTTTCCCAGAGGGATAAAATTCTTTTCCAACTCTTCCAAATTACATCTCTGAGGTATATTTTGGCTTGAACATGTATTATTCTTCCTCCTTGCTGCCTCTGTAATTAGTCATTCTGTATATCTCAGGTGTTGTCTTGAAATTTTTGCCAGCATGTTTTTGCAACTTCCTTGCTATTTTTGGCTGTTAGGTTTAGTCTGGACCTTGATATTGGAGTGATTGGTAATCCGTACTGCGTCTACTGATTCGGCTGGTGAAATTGGGAAAACTTTCAGATACATAAATCCTTCTCCAAATCACTGAAAGCTTGTCTGATTTCTCCAACTATGTTTCCAACAGTGGTTTCAAAGAGAGGATTATTTATTGTACAATAACTGAATTTTCAAAAGGTATTGTCAAGCCTACGGAATTTGCTCTGCTTTGCTGCTGGCTGGTGTAATAATGTTATTTCTGCTTACAAATGTTGTTACATCTACTATTTCAAGAGTTGCAATATATTGAATTCTTTATCACTGCTATTTGGAGTTACTCAGATGTACTAACTTGGTCCATTTTTCCTTTAAGTCCTTTGACAATATTTAGAAATTATAAGCTACCTCATAATTCTCATATCCAGTGTTAAATACTGTACAAATATGATGATAAATCAAGTCTGACAGCTAATTTGGACTGAAAAAGCAAACTACAAGAAAAGTAATGAGTGGAAGTGCTAATTTGAGGGAATGTTAATCAACGATTGATTCAGTAAATACGGCTAACAAGATTAAACTTGTAAGAAACTTTTCAAGGCCAGTATGATGTCAGCAGCCTGGTTGGCAACTGCTCTTTAACCTTTCTTTTGAAATATTTTGTGAAGCAGGCAGCAATTTGAGCTTATAGTTTAATTCTCCAGTAGAAAATTTGCAGTGCTGAAAACTTTGTTATAAAATTAGTTAAAACTTTGTTATAAAATTAGTTAAGTGATTTGTCATTTTATTATTTTGGAATTTAACTATATCTCTTTCTGTCCTCATTTATTTCTGTAGACATTCGTGAATGATGTGAGGATTCCAGAACAGACATACATCACTCTGAAGTTAGAAGATAAATTGAGATTTGGCTATGATATCCTTGTCATAAAAACGCCCAATGCCCAGACACGCTTTTCTTGCTGAAAGTATGGTTGTGTTAAATGAAGAGTTCTCATGCTATTTGAGAAGCAACTTTGAAATATTGATTTCTCTTGTTACTACTTCACTACTATCATAGAGAAAACTGCATGTTTCAGGATACTGTATCTTGATCAGAACTATTGATAAAGTACATTTCATTGTTTCTCACTGCAAGAAACCTCAATTTCTAATTACTGTTTTAAACCTAATGTGCAACTTCGGTTTCACAAAGTAACATTACTTTTCTCTGAGACAAATATACAAATATTGTATCATATGAGATTGTATACAAGTAGAGATTACAAGTAATTACTCAGCAAACTACAAAATGAAAAAAGAGAACTTGTATTCTTGCAACAGTAAAGTATCTACCTAATGTTCTATTTACAAATAGTAAATAATTGTATTGCGCATTTGCTTTGATGAGTATGATTGTATATGCTAGTCCTAATGGTGACATATTTGTAGAACAAGTGTCCAATGGAAGAATAGGCTGCAGAACTCTTGCTTTTCTGTAAAATCCTCTTGTGAATCGAGAAATCTTTCCAGCATTTTCCTTAGCATTGCCTACATACTAATCTTTTTACTGTTGTCAGGGGAGAGATGAGAGTCCCTGAAGAAGCACTTAAGGTAACAGCATGCAGTTCCTAGATGTTCCTCTGTAATTGTGTATTGGTAACATAGGGGTTTTTTCACTCTTTGAGGGTGTTTTTTTTTCTCTATTTAATGTCATGTAGCATGAAAAATTCACAAGCCAACTCCAATTATCCCAAAAATCTTCAGAGGCAGAAGGGTCGAAGCAAACCAGCTCCAAAAGCTCAGAGTCCAAGGTAGCAGACTCCACAGCTGAAGTTCACCACAAAACTACAGAAGCACTGAAATCTGAAGAAAAATCAATGGGTAAGGTTCATTTTTGCTGCAGAAGCACATGAACTTGTAAAGGATATTTATTTGCTTTGCTAGGATGCTTGTGAAATTCTATAGCTAGATGTAAAAACTCCACATACGTGAAATTTTAAACATATTTTAATAACTTTCAGAATTGAATTTCTGCCTTTTTTACTGTAGCATCCACATGTTAAGAAAATGTCAAAGGGACGTTTAATCAGCATTTATCAGATTTTTGTGTTTATCTTTCCCAAAATCACAAACTTTCGATATTTGTGGCAGGAAAGTGTGCTCTTTTTTGCAGGTTAACTGAAAATCTGAAAATATTTGTTCAGGTACAGTTTGTGCTTTGTACCACCACCATTGTCCTGCACTCTTGGTTTTTTTTTTCCCTTTCTTTTTTTTTTTTCCTACTTTTTTCCATTATTTTTTTTCTTTCTAAACTTGTGGGGGTTTTGTTTCTTTATAAATATTAGGTTCTATTGTGATGCATTTAACAATGAATGCCAGGTGTTCTATTGCAGTATAAAAAAAAAATGTAGAGACTGTAGCTTCGGTGGTGTTTCTACATCATCTTTCATTTTTATGTAGTTTGGCGTGGTGGCTCTTCTGCGGGTGTATTAACTTCAGTGTGAGGCTTGCTAAAGTTTATTGTTCATATAGGAATTATCTTGTAGTAACTTGCTGTGTTACGTGTTACTACAGGAGATAACCCCAAGAACAAGAAATTAATCAGGTATTGTTGCTTCCTCAATATGGAGTTGACTAGATCTGACTCCTTAGGTCAAGGATGTACAGTTTTGTTTAGGTTTAATCCATTCTTCTGGAAGACACGCTTCAAAGAGTTCTTTTTGCTACATGTAGGATTCTGTGGTATAACTAATTAACCTGTTTGTTTTGTTGGCTAATCTAGCATCCTGTTAAGGGTACATAAAGCCTACATAAAGCTGTGCTTCAGCTTTCCTATTCAATGTGTCTTTTCAGCATTTGAGTCCTCTTAAATTTTCATGAAATAGCACAGTGGGGTTTTTTTGTTATCATCTTCCATTTTTCTTTTCACTCTTCCAAAAATAATGGTCAAAGTTAATAATAGAGATTTATATTTGAGTACAGCTCTCAAACTTTTTGGAGATTGATTCTCTCACTGTTGCTGTATATATGCATAGCTGTTTACTATTGCTAATTCAGTCCGCAAGCATCAGCCATAAAGTTTTTAAAAACAATTCAGTATTGACTAACGTGTAACGCTGTTTAAAAAAAGAAGTCCTTAGTATCTTTAAATCATGTGGAAACTTTTAGCATGGCTATGAAATTTTATATCGTATTTGGAATTGCAGTGAATAAAACACTGAATAAAAATGTTAAAATTCATGATAGGCAAAGTAACAGACAAGCTACTAGGCTGGATTTGAACAGATCGTGTTATTTTATATAAAGACTGTTTAAAGTGTCTTCAGAACATTTGTATATTAGAATAGCTGAATCTCAGTAGGGCGAGCTATTCTTCCAAGGAATCAGGTCAAAACTAATACAGTTAATTTATCATCAAGGTAGAAATCTTAATTATATCAATGTTCTTTTTTTTCTTATTTAATATTTACGTTTAAGTGTTTTTAATCATGCGTATACTTCCTATATAAGAAATGGCATTTTTAATTGTACTGTAATTTAAGTATTACCTTTTTAAAAAAAAAATAAAATGGTTGTGCTCAGTAAAGTTTTACACAAGGTAACTTTCAGCACTGTGTAGTAGCTGTCAGCAATTTGGAACCTTGGCAACATTGCAAAATTTGATCAGTTTTTCATGCAGTGAGTTCAGATTTCATTGAAAGGTCAATGTGGGTAAAAGTGAGAATCTTCTCATGGAAATAGCAGTGGGCAGCTTTTAGGAATGTACTGCTATGCTGATGACTTCAAACTGAAAGCAGAAAATAATGTTTACAGATATATCAGGGCAACAATAAGAGATGTCAGCTGCCTTTGCATAAACGTTTGTGCCAGAAGTTTTGATCAGGTCATTAGTAAGCTCTTATATTTAGAACCCAGATCAGTTATCCAGCCTCCAGATTTGTTTTGTGTTTAGGCAAATGCATGCAACCAATTCACTTCAGCTTCCAGGAGATACAATCCAAGCAAATGACTCTCTCTCCATGTTATTTTAAACTAAATATCACAACTAAACAGAAAAGTAATTTCCTGTGCTTTGGGCTGATTTTATAGATCTTTCTGCCATGCCTCGTGGGACACCTTTGTATGGACAGCCAGCCTGGTGGGGTGATGATGAAGCTGATGAAAAAAGCGGATGTAAGCCAGATAGCAAGCAGGAAGAAAAAATTAATGAGACGGGGGCTTCAGGTAAGTCTGTTGTCATATTTTTGTGGGGGTTTTGCTCCTTAGTAAAGTGCATATATTATTAACTAGCGAACTAAACAGATATTAATGTTTGAAAGTTTCATAGGCAGTTTGTACAGATGAAAGTCTATTAAAATTAAGTTAGTTTAAAAAATTTATTCTGTGAGGAATAATGAATTTCCAGAGACAGATTTCACATATAATGTATCAGTTTTCTAGTATATAATACAATTTGTTATCAGTAAGTATAGAAAATATTACCTGAACCAGTGTGTCTTATTTATCAATTTAATCCATATCTGTCATTTTATATGCTCAAAGTTAGAGATTGCATAGGGATATTTTATCAAAATAATTTCTAAAAATAAATGACAATATATTATTTTTGTATTTGACTTCCAGCTATATAAGGTGATCTATGCTAACATTCTCTCCTGTAATTCAGCAATGCTCCATTAGTGGGAATTGCATTTCATGGTTCTTGCAGTAAAGATTTTCATAGTCTACAGATAAACTACTAAAGTTTATTTCTCCATAATACAGATTTTTTTTTTTCTAGTTAGCTTGTCTATAGACAGTATGTATTGCCAAAACCTAAATCTCAATGTCTATAATTAGGCTTCTAAATCTATCATCAGGCATATAAATAAAGTGACTACTATTCTAATAAAGATAATAACCTTAAAACTTACTCAAGTTAGGACAAAATCAAACCATGTTTGTTTAGCTGTTTAGACATGCATTTAAGGCCCAGGAATTTTAAGTCTGCGGGGTTTTTTAAGTACTTAAATGGAGGTGGGAATTTCTCTCTTCCTGCAATAGTAGTTGCCTTGGTTATCATGAATCCTATTTTTCATGAATTGGAGTAAACTCTAAAAACATATAAAATCAAACTAAACTAATACTTCAATGTAATGAACTCAACATCTTTGGAGTAACTTTTTGTCCTTTAATGATCTTTTTCATATTAGTCTAAAGTTGTCACAACTAACACAGTAAAGTAAGTCCCTTAAGATTTGGACTAGTAGAAAGAAACTAGGTGAAAATATTTAAACTAAGGACAGGTTTTATGCAACTTAAACAACTTTGTCACATATGAAAGAACTGCATCATAATGCAGTACAATTATAGAATGCTTTCTTATTTGGTTGTTTTTTTGGTTGAAAACTTCACTATATACAGTGTGAGTAGTGTGCTATTGTCTGCTCCTACGGAGGCTTTTTAACTACAGGTTTAATGCCCTACATTAGTAATCTATAACTCTGCAGTTCAAATCTTCTCTAGAAATGTGTTCTTCAAACACTTTTAAGCATTTCTAAGGAACAACAAATTTTGTTGCTAATGGCAATAATAATGAGAGACAATGATTGTTGGATGTTGTTCCACATTGATTTTTTTCAACAAGAAAAAAAAGCACGTATGTCATCAGTTACAAAGAAAAAGAAGTCCTTGCCTTCAAGTCATGCCATTGATAGACTTGCTAGCCACATGATTCTCCTTGCTGTCCAGATTACAGGAAGCATTAACTATTGCCTATGAAACCCGTGACTGTATCTTGCTGTATATGCCAAAACAGGGACAGTAAAGTCTCTAATATTTGTGGTTTTATTGCTTAGATGCCGATGTCTGTAGCAAACTAATATAACAAAAAGATGAATTCTAAGCTTCTAATATTCATGTGTATCTATCTACGTTGTTTTAATTTAAAAAACATGTATGTTATTTGCCCTCATTAAATATAGGATTATTAAATATAGGATTATATTTCATATATTAAATATAGGATTATTAAAAAGTAGCATCCTTAAGTCTGTGCTTTTGGTGCCATGCTATTAACAAAGTATGACACAGGATTCCAGCTTCTGTTTAGTAGCATGCCTATTCTTATTTTTTTCTAATTTTAAATTGCTTTTCAGAAACAATATTGCATCAAGTGGTTTACATGCTCTTGTATTTATTTTACCAAGAGATTTTTCAGAATGTGATCAGTGCTTCTGTCTTAGTTCCTGAGTTCAAAGAAAAATGAGGTTTCAACTTCCTCTCAAACTAATCAAGGAGGTGCAGTTTGTTTCAGTAGTAGATGAAAACCATGTTTGTTCTAGACAGAATGTCAGCAATGGGAATATTTTGATGTGCTTTGCCTTAGTGAAGTCATCATAAGGTAAATTATCAATAGAGGAGACGGACTAATATTTTCTACACTAACTGATTTTGTTTGTTTGTTTTCCATATACATACACAATAAATAAAAATAAAATTTGGACCCAGTGCCTTCTTGGCAAATACATTTAATTTTTTTAAATGTACAATGTAAGTTAGAAGTCCCTTTTGTTTATGTTGTTGTTGTTTAAGCATGAATTAATCTAAGCAGAGTGTAGGTATAGCTTCTATTTCCTCAAACTGAAATACTAATACATCTGCAATAATGGAATTCAGTTTGAATAAGCACATACTAAAGAAAAGCTTATGTGAAATGAGAAGACACTACTGGGCAAAAACCGAAACCTGACATTTTTGCAAAACAACTAATTTGGGAGGATATGGAACTAAAATCCCATGTATAGAAAGTGTTTTTGTTATCTTGATCATTTAATCTCTGAGTAGACATTAGTCGTGTGTTTTACTAGTCTGGCTTTCGACTTTTGTAGATGTTTTTTAGTAGAGTTGACAGAGAGCCTGAGAGGACAGACCAGGTGAGAGTTAACATTTGCCTCTATGGACACATTTTCTCAATCTTGGAACACTAGTTATGTCTGTGTAGATGCACACTGAAAAAAATATCCGGAATGTTTTCATACAGTTACAAAATAGAGACATAAGCTTTGGCCCCTTTGGCCTACAATTACATTCCGTGAAAATATTAAATTAATTTTCAACCAGTTAGTATGTATTTTCTTCATGAGTTTGGATTTTATAACATAGATGAATATAATAATTGGAAATCAATATAAAGGAACATAAAGGAAAGGAAATTGGAAACTTCACAAGACTGTCATGTTTGGATGTTTTTTAAATAAAAATGAACTTTAATAAAAAACACTCAAGATAGATGCAGTTATTTGTTCTTTCATGGGCTAAATTGTATTAAGCATTTAAAACACCAATTTGGAACATGCTTCTTAATATAAACCGCATAAAAGTAAGTACATTACAGGTAAATTCACACACGTAAGTTCTTAAACTTTTTGTTCAGTAACTCAAATCAATAAATCCTGATATCATTTAACAGATAAATCCTATGACGTATCTGCTTCATGCTTTAATGATTTGGTACATGATTATTCACTGAATAGAAAGAAGGCATGAATTAGAACAGATGGGGCAAGGTTTAATGAGGAGATTGAAATGGGAGATTTGTTTCTGCTAAGCCGACTATAGACAATTAGTCTTTACAGTCTCAAGTTAATAAGATTATTTCAATGTTACTGTCTTTCTGTCACAATTGAAACTCACTAATAGAAAATAATTTGCGAACAGAGCAGAATAGCCTGCAAAACTTTAAAAACAAAAAAGCTTTCTGCTTTTTTTTGACATGCATGTTGCTCTGATAATGATCTACGAGTCTGTGTTAAAATGAATAGTTGCATATACACCTATGGTGTGACTTTATCTATGCTGCAGCTGTTAAAATTACATGCTATCGGCAAGTTTACCAGACGTGTAATTATTGTTATTGCCATGTGTTACACTCTCACTTCCTGGAAAAGCAAAAACTGCATTCTCTGCTACATCTCAGTAGTAGATGTAGAATTTTACATCATTAATGCCTTTACCAGAAATCTAAGAAAAGGTGGAAGTCAATTTTTAAACAGGCTCTAAGAATCTGAAGTGTTTTTTTCCCAGTTGGCATGAAGTATTTTTTTTAATTCCAGCATTGGAAACTCAAGATATGAGTTTAAATATTCCTTACATCTAAGAAATGGTATAATTTTAAGGTAAAGCAGACTGACTGTTACTTTAAAAGTACCACTGTAATCAGTATGTGTAGGAGGTTACACACGTGTGTAAGCATTAGTATTAACATTAAAGTTCCTAGAAGTTTGTTCTAGAATTTTACTGAGTTTTGGCCTGGAATACGTGCAATTTCTGTATATATAAGGCTTGCTTTGCAAGGCTACAGCAACGAACGTACACAGTGTGTCATGAGGAGCTTACAGAACTTTAGAGCCACCACAGCAATATATTTAAGTAAGATTAGTTTTGCAGTTTTTTCACTTCACCTTCTTTAAAGCATGCAGTTCAGTGATTTATTATGAGAGGTGGGGCTTTCTTTATAATACTATTTTATATTTTTATTTAGAGAGAGCAATTTTCATACTACTTCATAAGACAGGTTATGATAACATTAAAAGACAAAGATCATCTTAATAAATACTAGGGGAATCATTACATGTATTTTTCACAATCTTGTCTTTAAATAACAAATGAAAAATATACTTCAGCGATAAAGCAAAAAAAGAACCTAGAAGGTAAGTGGGAAATAAAAAGTAGTAACATGAAGAGAAAGAAAAAGGAAAAAAAGAAATTATAGTAAGCATTTGAAAACAGTAGCTTCCAGTTTTTTTTTTTCCTTAAACATATCGTTGCACAGTACCAAATATAAAGCTAACATATAAAGAATATTTTGGGGGATTGTGTAAATATGATATTTTGGCTGGTTCTTACACCTTCTCCAAATAAATATTTTGCTGCAGGTTTACAGATACTTTTTCAAGAAGTGCTTTGTAAATTCCAGGTCATTTTCTTTTACAAGTTTTATTTTTAAAAATGTATGTTTAAGGCAGGAAAAAGAAAAAAAGAAAAAAAAAAAAAGAAGATTTCTAAAAAATCTGAAAGCTGTGCAAAATATTTTCTGAGGTTTCATCCTATATTTGCAGATGATAATATACTCATATACACAGGCAACTTCATGCATATCTGATAGATTGTGTTGAATAGCACAGAACACCTATGACATCTGTTGTCCAGGTTGGCAAGTAAAATTTTAAGATTCTGACTATTTGTGTATGTAACAATAAGAAACAAAACTTAAAACCCCCTTAAGTCCTAGAAAGTGAAATCAATTCTGCTAATGACACAAGATGAATGTTGCTTTTCTGATGATCATCTCTAAGATTATTCTAGTAAAGAATCTCCCTGAATCTCCATTTGGTTAAGCCTATGATTTCCCAAATATTACATAGTTTCCCTCTTAGTCTCCTCTAGACTCATTATTCCATTAACAGTCTCACTACACCTATGTAGCAGCTACAGTTATTGCTTCCTTACTTGCCTTGCAGAAACTATTGCACAGTTGCCTCTTGTAGCTCTAGACCTTTGTAGAACGAGAGTGCATTCTTTAGATACCCTGGTTCTTTTTCTGCCCCTTTCCTTTCACCCTTGTCAGTTCAGAAATCTCTTCAGTTCCTGAAGAGATTGCAGTTCACAACCTGTCTGTCCCCTCTTTTTCCCAAAACACACTTTCAGTTCCACACAATTGTCTTTTTTGTTCTACAGATACTATGCTTGTTCTGTTTAAAAATTATAGAGCTGTGATGACCTCTATTCTTCAGTATTTTCTTGAGGGTTTTATCTGAAAGCTATCTCTATGTAGTCTGATACATAATTTCCTTCATCTTGGCAGATGACTTTTTTAATAGGATTTCAAAGGTAAGGCTATTTTATAGATCACTCTCTGTAATATTTAGAAAGCTGTAAGGACTTGCATTTAGAATTTGGGTGAAAAATTCCAAAGAGTGGTTCAGATCAGAATCTATATTAATTTTTTTGTTTCCTCATTGTTTTCAATTCCTTGCTCTAGTCAATTCTGATGTATTTAACTCTTCTTAAAATGCAAGTACTTCAGACTGAAAATAGCCTTTTTAAGTAATTAAAATTAACTTGTACTTCAGATATTTTTCATTGTATCATTTCTAAGAATTTTTCTAGTTTAGAAAAATTTACAATTTAGTTGTAGTTTAGTTTCTCACTTATTTTGATTAAACTGTCATAATTTAGATTCAAATTATATTATAGCAGGTGTTTAATCAACAATATTAGAATCAAGTACTGTGCGTATCATTAGAGAATAAACAGTTGATTTCAAACGTTAAATTTGGTGCAGGCACGTTTCACATTATGAAGTTGTCTGCCTATGCTGACAAGACAGTATTATAGATCCCCTCATCCTAAGCCTACCACACATCTGATACAGTTTGACTACAGTCTTATAATTTTCAAAAGATGGTGATGAAGCAGTTATTTCATGTTTACTGAAAAATACTGTTTATGTGGCTGGTAGATTGCTCTTGCCTGGCCCAAAAGTAGGAATGTTTCTCAAAACATACTGTATCAGCCAGTTATCTTTTAAAGGACCATTGCACACTATATCTTGCTTAATTATTTGTGATGGAATTGCATTAAATTGTAGGCTTGAAGCTCTGAGTAGAACCACAGGGGAAAGAAATAAGGTACCTATGAACTGGCTCCCTGGTGGGTTGCTCTCCTGTTCAATGATAGTCTTGCCTACTGTAAGGATCCTGGCTCTAGATTTGATCCTACTAGAGCTTGATCCATTCCAGCTTGTTAACTGGATGAAGCAAACAGGGAGTGACAGTAGTTTACCTAAGATCTAGTAGCTGCAAAGTGTGACTTTTGTTTATTTCTGTGTATTTTCTGTCTAAACATAGAAGGTTTTTTAATGACCTTTGCATCAGTAAAATAGATTCATTCTGTATTGGTTGTCTGCTGGCATAGGTGTTTTCAGGAAGGAGACTAAAAAAAACCTTCTGTTTCGCAGGAAGGGGAGTAGTGAGTTGCTGTTGTAGTGCCTGAAAGCTGACCCACAGAGATGAGGTAGCTGCCAGTGCAGTGAAAAGCATTAGTCAGGGTATTCTTGGAATGCAACAGCACAGTGCAAAAAACTGTCTGAATTCTGAACATCTTTAGTGTTTGTATCAGCTACTTTTAGATAAAATAAATTACAAAAAGCTGTGTTACCTGCATCAGAGTTATTTTATCCCGTTGGTATCCAAGCATGGCAATAACAGACAATGTGTACTATTTTTGTTATCACTCCATAATGTTATTCAGTTTTTAACTTCTCCAGCTATTATGCTCTCCTTTAATTAGTTCTATTTCTCTGTATCAAACTACCGTCCTTTTTTAATTTTTAACTTTTTACTAAATCTTCACAAGAAGCATGTGTTTGTGAAGAATGGCATAGGCACATTATGCCGGCCTGCATCCTTTACCCCTTAGACTCCTGACTCCAGTATAAATGTTGCTATTGCTACCTGATTGCATAATAGTTTCATACACAAATGTTAACTCTGTCAGCGGATATAGTGTGGCTATTTTTAGCGCCAGAAATCTATTAATTGCATTCTTATTCCTTTACTTGGCAACCTCAAATGATTTCTTAAACATCTTAATGTGATTCATGATAAATCACATAGGAACTATTCAGAATTCTTTTTCTGGAATGTAACTTGCCATTGCTACTAACATCTCAAGCATCTGTTGCTTATAGCACATCTCTACACCAGATATTCTGGCTAGCTTACTAGTTCATGAAATGCAACCAGAAGGTTTGTTTTCTTAAAGGCACATTGGTAGCTTTGCTAGCAGCCCCAAGAAGCTTTAACCTTCCTTCAGGCTGTACAGTGGGACTTTCAATTACTACCCCATGCTTTTTCCACATTCTGGTTTCTTTACCCAGTTAGAGCATGGTTTGGTATCGTTCTGCATGCTTCCAGCTATTGTTGCTTTTTTTGTTCATCTACAAATTATGGAAACAAGTAAAATAAGAGCCGACAACAGTCGGATTTAGCTCAATTCTTTGGTTTTATCTTTTGTAGAGACATAAAGTGTTTGAATTCCGAAACACTTCCCAATGCTTATCACTATTAAACTTTTCTAGCCAGAATTAATGGTTATCTTGCATTAATGTGTGAATTGTTTTTCCTAAGAATTTTACCAAACAGAATTAAACAAGTTATCCACTGCAGGAGATGAAAGCCAGATCAGTAGCACTTGTTTTGGGAGCACCTTGATTTTATGTTTTTCCAATGGATTGGAATTGCAATAATGGTCATCTCAACTATTTCTCTAATGTGATTTCCCCGTTTTCCATGTGCTAATAACTCATCTGACCTTTACATCATCTAAAAATTTTTGGAATGCAAATTTCCTTTGACAAACTCTAAGTGAGCTTTTTGCCACTTCACAATCCATACAGCCAAAGCTCGTGCTGTCTTTTTAGCAATAATTCTTATATGTAATTCTGGAAGTATTTTTCCAGAACTACATTGCGCAATCTTCTCGACAATCTTACTGTTTATTCCAGAAATTACTCAAGTGGCCTTTACAGGAGTTCTGAAACTTCTTGAAGAACCTGAAGTTCCCAAGTATTGTGAAATCTATTTTTTATTTTTCTTAATAGGATGCAGTACAGATGCCAAGCAAGCTGAGGAGCAATCTGCAGCTGCAAGTGAAGAACTTTATCCTTTCTGTAGGGAGCCAAGTTATTTTGAAATCCCTACAAAAGAATTTCAGCAACCTTCGCAGGTAGCAGAGAGCACTATTCATGAAATTCCAACAAAAGACACCCAAAGCTCCCATGCAGCAGGTGCAGGGCATGCTTCCTTTACCATTGAATTTGATGACAATACTCCAGGAAAAGTAACAATCAAAGATCACGTGACAAAATTCACAGCGGAACAGCGTCACAAGTCAAAAAAGCCTTCTTCCTCCAGTGGTCAGGACCTGCCTGGGCTTCAAACGGTGATGATGGCTGCAGAGAGCAAAGTAGCAGATTGGCTAGCACAGAACAATCCTCCTAGAATGATATGGGAACCAACAGAGGAGGATTCCAAAAGTATTAAGAGTGATGTTCCAGTGTACTTGAAGAGACTGAAAGGTAAAGTGAATAATTCCAGCTATGCTTATTTTTTGAAAGCAACCATTCCTCACCAGCATCCAGTGAGTGGATCCCTGAGCCCTTGTGGAGTTCATTTGAAACCACAGATACTCCACATGTGTGCAAGGATCTGTGCTGGGAAATTTTATTGCAGTATTAAGTCTTAAAAAAGAGGATAGAAGACCAAATCCTAAATCATCTTACAATAAATATACTAATTGGACATATTCTAGTACAGCTGAAAACATCAGGTATTTAAAACCTTGATCTTGAAAGGGAAAAGGAAAAAACCCAAACCTTAAACTTAATATATTTCACTTTTTCCCATGCATTACTTTTAAAAGCTGAATTGCTTTTTAGAATCAAAGCTCTGAAGTTCAAATTATGCTTTTAGCAACTCTTCCAATAGCATATGTTCTGCGAATATTCATTTGCTCTAAGAAAATAATTTATGGCAAAGAATACATCATATAGGTATTCTGCTTAAATCGATCATGTATGATGGAGTCAAGTTTGAGTCAGGAATCTGAAATAGACTAAGAGCTTCAATTTCCATACTAAGCTTGCAGAATGTTGTATTTATAAGAATGCTGCTGTTGAATGGCATTCCAGGTGTTCATTTACTGCAGACAATGACCGTTCAAATAAAATTGAATCAAATGTTAAGTGTGAAAAGTATATTTTCTTTTGGATACCGCTTAGCAGAATAGAGAAGAAAGTATTTTAGATGTTCAGATGAAGATTCTGGTGACATTCAAACTTTCAGAATGAAAACTTCTCAAGAACTTTTTCAAGTCTCTTATTTTCTATTTTTAATTGCAGCAGGCTAACCCTGCAATTCCTATTTTTCTTGATTCTGCCACATTATCATGTCTACCTCTTAAACCAGCTGGGTACAACGTGCATTGTCTTACTGATCAAAAGTTTGTTTTTTAAGGCTGACTCTTCCAAATTAAGCTAAAAAATAAAATTTTGAAAACAGAATCATATCAATGTACTAGCATTAAGATAATAGCATAATATTTCTTCTAGAGTATATAACAGAGCATTCTTTGCTCTTCACGATACAGTATTATATTCATGAACATTCTTTAAAATATTTGCCATATCACTTTGATAAATAGGAAGGGCTTTGTTTACAAGGCCTTAGCCTTTTCCTGGCAGAAACTGCTCAAAATTTGAAAAATTTTCATCTGAGAGGTGTAAATTATGGTGTGCATATGACCATAATAAAGATCACAGAAGCTTACAAAATTCAGATATGTTTGTATTATCACTCATTACTTGTACATTTTCAAATAGTAAAGGTAGAGAATATACTTAGCCACTTTGAAAGTTTGATTTAAAAATAATAATAATTTTCAGCTTTTTCTTACAATATCCTGTATTGAAGTCACACTGATAAAATTATGTTGTATGATTTTCACTGTAGTGTTGATATTTATTGTTATTATTTGGAAGTATATGAACCATCACATTGTTTTCATAGGCACTGTACAAATAGGTGACAAACAGGAATGTAAATTAGGATTTTAGCTGTGTATTCAGTGCCATTAGTCTGATAAGTAAAGTTTCCCAATATGTGATTACTATTTAACTGAATAGTAGCTGCTTAACCTAACTACGTAAATGAAAAGACCTTAAAAAAAAAAAAAAGTTGTACATTCTATGTACACACAAGTAAGACTTGATCCAAAAGAGTTCATAGAAGGTAAAACTTTTCCTTCCCAGGAACTGAGCTAAAACTTAAAAGTGTAGACACTTTCACTGTACACAAGTTGCTCTGTGTTAAATGTGACTTACTGTGTATGAGTATCCAGACTTCCGTGCATTTTCAGGTATCATTACAAAGTATATTTATATGCATATATATGATTTATTAAATATTTAATTCTTATTCATAAATCTTAAAGTAGCTTGTGGAATGAATGTGTAATAACCATTTTACATGCATACAGATGCTGAGGGAGTGAATGATGGAAAAACTCATTGTATTTCTTGGAAGGAGTAATAAAGAATTCATTCCAATTTTCTGTAGACATTTTTCATGATAAACTGTTGTAATTGTGTGAGGAATCCAACAATACGAGCTGTGGCTCTCAGTGGGTATTTTCAGCTACCAGAAGGACTATTTTAGGGGTTTCTTTTTCCTCTTAACCTTCCCTAGAACGTTTCGGTAGTCATTTGTAATCAACTGGCTGTGTAACAAAATTAATATAATTGGGAAACATACTATAGTACAGTTGGTAAAATACTGTCTCTTGTAAGTCACTGATAGGTATTCACAGATGAGAATGTTGATGGAAAAGGTAATTCAAATGCACTGCTGTTACTGATCAGCTTATAAAGTGTTTCGTTGTTTGACTCGTAGCGAGTTGAATGCATTACCAGGAGCTGTACAAAATTTGCAGAGCCAGGTACTGAAAGCTGTTGGAGTATAAACAGAAAACCAATTTGAAATTCTTTCTTAGTTTGCCAGTTTCTTTTGTATGTGTTGGGTTGGGGTTTGGAGTTCTTTCTTTGTTTTGTTGTGCTATATATTCTTTTGCTTTGCTTGTAGGGAATAAGCATGATGATGGTACGCAAAGTGATTCAGAAAATGCTGGTGCACACCGGCATTACAGTAAGCGGGCAGCACTTGAAGAACACTTAAGGCATCATCATACAGAGCTGAAAAAGTCACACCAGAAAGTCCATTCCATGGAAAAGCAGCAAGAGCAAGCCGGTTTGAGTCAGACTGCCTTTATGATTGAGTTTTTTGATGAAGACCATCCTCGAAAGAGACGTTCTTACTCTTTTTCTCAGAATGTAGGAGCTCTGTGCCCAGAATCTCCATCTCCAACACCTCATGCACGAGCTGAAAGAGTGAAACCTACGTCAGGAGAGAAAGCAGTCCCATCATCTGTGCAAGCCAGCTCATCGCATCACAGAGCAGTACATGGTGTTCATGCAAAACTTCTAAAACAAAAATCAGAAGAACCCTCTGCTGCATTACCTGTCTTACAGGCTGCATTGTTAAGGAGTTCGGGAAGCCTTGGCCATAGGCCTAGTCAGAACCAGGACATGGACAAAAAGTTGAAAAGCCAACATATTTCTGCTGCTACTGAAAAGGACAATGAGGATGACCAGAGTGACAAAGGTACTTACACTATTGAGTTGGAAAATCCCAATTCTGAAGAAATGGAAGCCCGTAAAATGATTGACAAGGTGAGAAATCTAAAATGTATACTGTTGTTAAAGCGGTATGTGATTTGTGGGCAACAGTCTACCACTTCAATTCTACTTATTAAAGCTGCTGCAATAATCCAAGTTTTTAAGTCAGTCTATAATGATGAAACGTGGAATGTCATAAAAGCAGCAGCAGGCATTTGGTTAAAAATTATTGCTGTTTGATACTGCTGTTCTTTTAGTTTGGTAGTTTTAATGTGTTTTCAAAAGATTTAAGTACTGTGAGAATACTAGGCAACAGAATTCAATTAACTGGTATTTTTATTAGAATTGTTAGATTGAATTTATTATGTCCCTATGCAAATACTCACCTGTTCTTAAAATCCTATGGTCTCTGTAGTTTTCAGTATATGAATTGGTTCCATATAAATTGTCATGTAGAAATAGAACGTAAATGTTTTCTGTGCTTACAAAAAAAGTATATTCAATAACAGTAACTTAAATTTCAGCATCCATTATAAAGAGTAAGTATAAGAATGCTTTCATTTTACAAATATGTTTATATGATAGCAATGTCGTTTACCTAGTTTGAATATAGGTATATGTTTCATTAGGCTTATGAATCTTATGATAAGTAACTTTTACATCTTGGTAACAATATAAATAACAATACAAATCGTAATTACAGTTAAATATCTGCAAATAACTGTTGTTGGATTCAACAGGAAGATATGGGTAGGCAAAGCTATGTTTAATCATTTGGCTTAACTGACTCTTGAAGAGGAGTTTTTTTCTGTTATTGTTGTGGTTTCCTAAACAATACGTTATGGTAGAATGCTGGCATCCAAATCTAGGCAATTTTTTGGCCAGTTTAACAGGAAATTAATTGCTTGTTATATAATTATGTGAGGATTGATTCTGTGTGTATAAAACTTTTTCAGAGCTGAACAGATACATTAATACGTTTAGAATGAATTTTGGCTAAACATTGAAAAATATTTTTTGAAAGACAAGCTAGCTTTGCTGTTTTCATTTTGTAGAAAAATGCTGATATATTGGGGAAATGGGAAATTTTATTACAGATGGTTTTATGTTATAAAAGGTGTTTATGGAGCATTGGGGGGGAGGGGGATTAAAATAAAGATAATTACCTTCAATAAAATCATAGAGATAATGATTTCACCTCTTATGGATTCTGAAAAGGAGATGTTTGACTTCTTTGAGTCAGTATTCAAAGAACTTCCGAGAACTAAAACCATTCCAAGTGAAGCAAGTGAATATTAAAGAATGTCATTGCTTTCACTCAGTGACAACAAATACCTACGTTTAATTATTAAGTTACAAATCTTCAATTAAATTTCATTGGAAAATGCGTAAGTCTTGTCTTTGCTAAGTATAGCTGTGCAGTAGGGTTTATTTAGAAACCAGAAAAAATAACAACATTTGGAAATAGACAACATATGTACTTTATAAGAATGTTAATACTGTCTAATGTCTAATAAGATTTCAAATTATTTGTGGTCTTTAATATCCATTCAGGATATCCACAGTCAGTTTTTTGTTTGAAACAACTCTCTCCAGTTACAGGAGATGCTCAGGAACAGAAGGTGAATGTAAGCATTAGGAATGGTAGTAAAGTACTGGATAATATTCTAATGTATAAAAAGCTTTTGGATATCGTAAATACCCCTTACTGTGAACCTAAAAAAGTGTCACCATTTGAAGTTAAAGGTTTACTAGGAAGTAAAGAAAGACTGTGTTTCTTTGAGATCTTCTGTATCTTCTCACTTAGTATCTGTACTGAAGCATCATGAACAGTATATTTTACAGCCAATTCAAAGAGCCCTGCTGTACAATGCTTATTTGATTTGGTAATATGAAAGAAGTATGATATTATTTTTATGAAGTGCAGAAAAACAGCCAGTGAAGAAAACCAAAACCAAATAGAAGCCAAAATTTCTTCTTCCAGCTGAGCTCAGCTTTGCTTCTCTCCTATTTCAAATTGCTAATGCTGTGGATTCTGTTACTTTGCTGAAGGTGGATAAGTGAAGAACAAGACACGGACTTTTGCTAGCCTGTTTACTGCTGTGCTGCTTTATTGAGGATTTAGAAGAACTATTGGTCTACATTTTATCAATAATTCCAGTATAACCTCTTTCTTTGTTGGCAAGTCAGTCCTTTTTCTCAGCAATTACAATGCCTACTCAACTGAGTCTCATTTAAGAGTGTCTGTCGAGGCAAAAGATTAACTGAAATTCAGGAGTCTCATTTGTTAGGAGTGGGATGAAAATGCACTACAAATAGCAAGGGTAACTTTCGAAAACATTTGCACAAATAATGCAGTCTTGTCAGTAAAATTTACACTAGAATGGTGCTAAGATCCATGTCTGCTTTACCTGAAGAATTTCCTATAGAATAAAATACTTCTGGGTTTGGGTATTTATCCCTTTTACTGGAAGAAAGAGTGAGAATGACCAAAATATCCAAAGATTATTTTCAGTGTGACTCATTCACTTGGAAAACCTTAGCCTTAGCCTTACTCCTGTAGGTAGAGTCTACTTTTTTCTCTGGAAAGGAACATAAGAGAAAACCACAAATGCAAGAGCATCATTAACTTGTCAAAAATCAAGGCATGATTAATAGTGCTTCATTGAGTTAAGAATCCAAGAGAGGTATGCAGGAAATAGAAGTTAAAATTCTCAGAAAAATATAATTTAAAAAAGGTGGGGGAGACCTTAAGATCGAGCTATATTGTTTCCTTGAAAAGTATCATTTTTGCTTAATATAGCCTTTTACGAAAGTCTAGGAAATAGACTCAAGGATATAGGTATTTATGGGAAATTATTTTAAAAACACAAAAAGGATGCTTTCCCGCTTTTTCAACATCTTGATTTCATTTAATTGCTAAGGATCCATTTTTTCCTCTGCTATTCGGTCAGTCCCTAAGAAAAAAAGTATTGTCTCTAGAGCAGAAAAGGAGTAGAATAACAAAGAACATATTCCTTTTTTCCTTTACCATTTTAAAACGTGGCTATTGAAAAGAGAATGTGAGAAAGAGAGAAAAATAATCAGAAGGAAAGAGGAAGAAATTTTCTAAGTATCAGAAAAAAGCTTTTTAGAGAGATACTTTTCCTTAGAGAGATGTAATCATTTATCTGCAGTGATGACTGTCTCGGAGTAAACGTCTATCACTTACCTAAAATGAAAGACTCCAAAAGCATTGAGGCTTGTGCCTTCCACAACTGTCAACACGTAGATAATTTGCTGAGCCAATGAAATTAAAATCAGACAAGATATCAAGGACTGACAGGCAGGGTCACTGGAATAAAATCAATTTATACAAATAGCAACAGAGAATGAACTGGGTAGGAGAAGAGAAATTTGTTAAATTGTTTGAAAATTTGCAAGATTTAAGAAAATAGATTTGACTTTAGGGTGGAAAAATAAAGTACATCATGCAAATAGTAAGCAGATAGTTTTCAGTTGTAAACACAAAATAAAAAAAAAGATGCAAGACCTGTACCTTGGAGTCCTCCAAAGGTTGTTCCTGTTTCACTTGTATGTCAGTTAATCATTTGGATTGATTGTATTTTAAAATCTTCCATGCTTAGATCAGCCATGATAGGAACTGATGTAACTACTTATTATTTCAGGAATACTAGTAATTATTTCTTCTGTGCTGTTATTTGAATTTTATTTATAAATTTTAAAGATATTGTCAGAGAAAGTAAATATCACTGCTTTGTGGCCAGCTTTGAACAGGTTGCTTATGACACACCAATTCTAAACACGTCTCTTAGAACAAAACAAACATCTTGAATAATAACTAAAAAAATAAGTTTTAAAAATTAAATAATAAGTATCAAAAATAAACAGCAACATCAAATTTCATAGAGGTTAGGAGAAATCTCTGGCTATGTGATTAGGCAGAGACAGAAGCAGTCATCATAAGAAGATTTCATAATTGTTTCTGTTTTAAAATATAATACATACACATTTCCAGGACAAATCTCAAAACATGAAACTGTCATAGAAGAAAAATGGGTAGGGCCTAGGGGTTTTTTGTTTGTTTTTGCTTAAGCGTATTTCATTTAATGATATTTCTGAATGGAAATATCTCCCATTGTAGAGACAGTGGTTATAATTTCAAGTTACAATATAAGTTACAATCCTTAGCTGTTACCCAGTGTAACTGCCTTCTCTGGTTAGTCAATCAACTGGTGAGAATGCTGCGCTTACATGTGATAAAGCTGTACTTATCACAAGTAACACAAATCCATGGACACAAATTCCATCTTGTATTATTGACATTTTCTCCAAAACACATATTCTAAGACTTCTGACTCATTTTAATTTTTAGCAACTTGTCATTCTTGCTATTTCTTTCAAATTGTGTTGGTTTTCTGATATGTAGAGATTGAGTGAATACTGCCAGTATTACTGGTATGGAAATGTGTTGTATGTTTCCCTCATCTCTCACTAAGTTTACTTGCATTTTTATTCTCTCATGGGTTTCCATATGGTCCTCTGTTACCTTTGTTTTACAAAATACAAATTCTGAGCAAGATAGGTGCTATTCCTCGCAAACTAGTTTGATCTTTTACTTGTTCTTTAAGACACAACCATATGTTTATACTGTAATGTTCTTTATAAATAGAGAACACTTGAAAAATAGCAATAAACCTTGCTTACTAAAAGTACTTTCATTAGCCAATGGTATTTCTGCATCCAGATGTTCACATGTCACATTCATAGAGAAGTATGAATTGGTTAGTAGGCAAACATTTAGAAAATAAATACCTTAACAACATGAAAGAAAGCTAGGACTGAATAATAGATACTGGCTCTCTATTTATACTTGTAGAGCTCTTTTTAAAATTACCATTGAGCGCAATTTCATCAATGACTAAAGAAGAAAAGCTGCTCTTACGTACTACAAAGACCACCTTGAACATACCAGGCATACAGTATTCTCTTCTCAAATAGCTTCAGAAAGCCATAATTCATTCTAGCAGAACAATACTCTTATTATTGCAGCT